GAGTTTTCGTATATGAAATTCAAATACATAATTTATTGTATAGCAATGTTGTATGTGTGTGTGTGTGTTTATACATATCATACTTTTTATCTTCAATTATCATGCAACTGTTTACAACACAAAGAAGTCTCTTCTGTAAACATGATGTCATTTTTAGTTGTTGTTGTTTTTTTTTTGGGCAAATGTGTAATTTACAGATATGTTTTGTTTAACAATTTTTTTTTGGGGGTGTTAAAACAGAATGTGGAGTCAGAACAAAAAGTTTGCCAGCTTCCATTTTCGGAAAAGGTTTGATGGCCAATCGTGATGGAAAATCCACTTTACCGACAAATTCTCTGACGCAGTTTCTACGACACACAAGTGCAGAATCGACACCTAAAAGTTTAAAAAGTGAAGTTTCAAACGAGAAAAACAAGTTCAGTTCAAACCATTTTTTAAACCAATCATTACATACAACATTCAACCCTTTCCTGGACCCACGTGGTAAACATGTGATAATGAGAAATGTTAGTCAAAGTAATGACACGAAAAATCGTTTGGCAAAAAACGAAAGTCGCTTTTTAATCTCTAAACCAGAAACTGCGAAGAAAAACAATGAAAAAACGGTGCTTAGGCCTACGTTTAATGTAGTAGGGGGAATACCAGCCCTAGTTGGAGCCTGGCCATGGATGGTAAGAAATCTTGATTATATTGAATTGTGTGATTATTTCTTTGTTATTTTTAAATAATAACAACAAAATCCTTTATAACCTTACTTCCTCTATTAAAATTCAGAGACTAGAAGTTGAATTTTTTTAACATGATATGTACATGTGTGCTAAAAGGGCAGGTCGGAGACTTCTCTAGGATTCAGTCCCTAACTTTGACCTATTAACTAGGAGGGAACAGTAATCAGTCATCGGCAGCACCCCCCCCCCCCCTCTCAAGAACTTGTCCAACTCTTCGAATTGAACAATGAGATTCATTATCAGTTTACAGCTGAAAATGTGGAATATGTTCAGCGGTATCACGTCTCGAACCCCGGACACTTCGATCCGCAGTACGGCATGCTACCTACTAAATAAAATTCAAATCAGACGTACTGAAAAACTTGAATCACAGAAGTAGATATTAAAATAATTATATAATTATTCGTTATATTATATGCATAATTTTGTCTTTTTTTAAGTTTTGGGTTATGTAATGTTAGATAATGTAAAACATTATACAGTGAAAATATTTGGTTACGGTTCTGGACCAGTTTGGAGCACTTTGAACTCCATAATTCACCTCAAAATGGCGACTGAGACACAGTGTATTATAGGCTGAATGACTAATCGCTTGTATTTCAGACCAACTACATCACTAATCACCAGATGTCTCATTTTCGTATCAATGATATGAAAGTGGTAATTGAAATCCAACAGTATTTTCCCGACAATTAACTGAAAAAGATGATTAGTTCTAGCAATAACGAGATTGCATGGACGAGGAAATGACAGAATGCAAAATAAAATAATGGTGAAAAGCATAATTTGATTGGTGGACAAAGAGATAATTTGATTGGTGGAAAAGAAAATAATTTGATTGGTGGACACAAAAATAATTTGATTGGTGGAGACGAAAATAATTTGATTGGTGGACACGAAAACGACGTTTCGGGCAACAGCAAAAAACGTTGTTTTCGCGTTCATCAATAAAGTTATTTTAATTTTACGAGCTCTTCGCCATTATTTTATTTCCTATTTTACATTCTGAAAGGGGTGATTGATATAGTTCATAACATTAGTTTTTGCCTTCTCATAATCATAATGTTACGAATTCCAATGATCTGAGGATTATTTCCAGCAGTATAAATGTTTTTATCCTCATCACAATGAATTTTTTTAGGTTTAAACTTACACTGATAGTGAGTGCAATATTTTTGTCCTAGGCTGCTATCTTCTACAATGGTGGAAAACGATTCTTGTGTGCAGGGTTTCTGATAGACGAAAGACACGTTCTCACTGCCGCTCACTGCTTTATAAACAAAATGTAAGGTTTGATCTGTACATATTTTAGACTACATTATAGGGTTCGTACCTCTGTGAAATGTATATCACATCAGGTTATTTGCTGTGTCAATCGAGGAGAATTGAACCCCTGATTTTAGCGTTGCAAACCCTTACCACTGTCCCACCCGGGGCCATATTTTTGTAAAAACTCATTACATTTCCCTCCAGATATTTCTACAAATAAAATTAATAAGTATTCAAAATTATATATTTCCAGATTTTTGTTGGTTACAAAGTAAAAGATGTTGTTCAAAATTAATACATAAAAGAAAGTTATAGCCTCTATAATAGTATTTCTTGTGTAATATATATAAAAATATAAGGGAAGAATTGTATTAGAAAATCAAATTCTTATCCTCTATCTCCATTGTTGTAGGCGGATGGTATTCTTATTAGAAAGTTAAAGAAAGTTATAGCCTCTATAATAGTATTCCTTTTGTAATATATATAAAAGTATAAGGGAAGAATTGTATTAGAATATCAAATTCTTATCCTCTATCTCCATTGTTGTAGGCGGATGGTATTCTTATTAGAAAGTTAAAGAAAGTTATAGCCTCTATAATAGTATTCCTTTTGTAATATATATAAAAGTATAAGGGAAGAATTGTATTAGAAAATCAAATTCTTATCCTCTATCTCCATTGTTGTAGGCGGATGGTATTGTTATTAATAAACCAGTATTAAATAATAATGAAAAGTTTCAGCTTTGCTTTTAAAACTTTACAACATGACACTCTCCTTAAAACATAAAATAAAAACACACAATTTAACTTTAATTAAACTGTCATTGTAGGTCTGCTAGCGAATATGTGGTCAGACTCGGACATGTGGTGGCAAATAAGGGATCAGTACATCGAGTTAAGGCCATCCGTGTGCACGAGCAGTACAAACCGAGGCAATATTATCACGACATAGCCGTTGTTCGACTGAAGATAGGTGTTGAATTCACCAACAAGGTGTCGCCTGTTTGTCTTGATAACCTTGAAGCTGGTGGAGTGAATCGTTTTGATAATGTTACGGCAACATTGTTGGGCTGGGGATCTTTGACATATGGTAAGTTACAGAAGCAGTCAAGTGATACAGTATTTCTTATATGTACAATAATTTTGATTTAACAAAAAAAAAAAAAATTCTAAGATGGCCCGTGCTATGTTCTGTAGATTTGGTTTTGGTTTGTTTAAATTTCGCACAAAGCTATTCGAGGGCTATCTGGACTAGTCGTCCCTAACAATTATAGGCCAGAGGAAATGCAGCCAGTTAGCACCACCCACCGCTAACTCTTAGGCTAATCTTTTACCAACAAAAATGGGGACTGACCGTCACTTTATAACGCCCCCATGCAGAAGGGGCGAACATGATTGGAGATTCGAAGCAGCAGAATGAAAGTCCACGCCCTCCGCCAGACCTGTTCCATAGATAATCTGGGACATCGACCATCATCTAGTGGTACGTATAGAAAATCGTTCTTATAAGGTCCAACAACGGACGAAGCAAGTCCATAAAAGAGTAGTTTGTTCTTTATATTGTCAAATTTACAATTAATACTCACGTGAGAACTAGTGTTTTGTTTTCATCACTTGATTGGTTCTCATCCACCTTTTTCGGGACACACTCTGGACCAATGGTGTTTCATGTTTCAGTGATGTTCCTAAGTTTGTACATTATCCGGGTCTGAAATGGCATGATATTCTGCTAAACACACTCTGCACTTTCAGCTCTGAAGGAGTAATAACTGTGACAGTCAGTTACGTTTAAAAGTAGCCTTATGACAATCGGTGGATGGTCTCTCCTGCCGGCAAGGAGTTTTTAATTAAAGATGACAATGTCTAAACCTTATGGGTCTCTGACCTGGTCATTTAGTCCAGTGTGTCGCATGAGGTGTTGTTCAGAAGTCTTTCAAAATTTTATTGTAAAAACCACATGTATTACCACCAAATCAACACATAAATGTTAATTCAGTCACTAAATTAACCACATTGGTTATTTTTTTACAAGCTATAAAAATATAGTTTTCTTTTTCATAGATCAAAGCCTTCCCCCCCCCTGTGGCACAGCGGTATGTCTATGGACTTAAAACGCTAGAATCCGGGTTTCGATACCCGTGGTGGGCAGAGCACGGATAGCCCATTGTGTAGCTTTGTGCTTAATTACAAACTAACAAAGCAAACATAGATCAAAGGTCGTACATGTTATCAAGATGACGTGTGACACATTTTCTGTCAAGATTCATCTTAAAAACAAACCTAAACCGATATATAATGTAGCCAAATAACATCCTTGCCTTTTCAGGAAATCCTTGTTGTAATCAATTTTCCAGGTACAAAGAATCCAATTAACTGCATATATATAGAACTTAGATTTTTTTTTTACCTGTTTCTCTTTCGTGCATTTTTCTACCAACACACTTACAGACAAATGAAGTTATCCACTTTTGGCATTGTGTTAGCTTATTCTTTGAAATAATTCGATAT